TTCATTGTGAAAAATTTTGAATAGCCTTGGCCTCTAGCCCATTTCCAGAAAGATCTCCGTACAAAGTTTTCTATCGGTGAGGAAGATTTTTCTGCTTAAAATTAGCTCAAATCGAAAACCAAAAAAATTTTTATTATTACAATAATTACTCTAGATGAATACAGGTAATAATCGAAGGATTAATCAAAATCGCTACTTCCCCAAAAAAAAAAAAACTATTTGCCGGATCAACTTCAAATTTTCGGAGAATGTACTCAAATATATTTACATTCGATATGTCGATTATTTCTCGAGAAAAAAATAAAAAAAAACAGTTAACTGTTGTTTATGGTTAAGGCTAGAAACAAAAAATCTTAGATAAATGGCTAGAGGCTCAATACGAACATCGACAAGTTTTGAATGTTCCAATTCAGAACTTAACTCAAATTTATTTGCTCTCCTATTTGTAACCTCCTCCTTTTGCAGAGGTTACACTAAAAGTTCTAAGGATTTCATCCATATATATATGTATACATACATATGTGTACATCATGCATACAATCGCGTTGTTATTGTTGCTATACATTTATTGTTTTTGTTTTTGTGACGGGCATTGCCACAATATCATTTCCATATTGGCAATATATCCTATTTTCCATCTTGTTGCATATGTCGAATTTTGTTGTTGTAATTTTTGCAAGGATATCTCAATGAGATAAAAGGATATATATATGTACATTTGCATACACACTCGCTAACACTACTTGCCACATGCCACATGTTACATGCAACTGAGTCACTCGAAAATTCAGTATATTTGCATGCTTACGTACTTGTATATGTTTGAAAAACTAAGGTCCACACACACATATATGCATTAGTATGAATGAAAATTCATGTGCTCATATATGCATTATACATCCACGTTTAAATAAAATACTTGTGTGCATCTATAATATCTATGTCATCTGCCTGAACTTGTGATGTTGCCCACTAGAGATTTTCTACAGTTTATTGCAAATGTTTATCATACGCCCTGCACCACAAATAGTTGTTTTCAATTTTTGAGAAGAAGCTTAAGAGCTGAAATATTTATTGAATGTTTAGTAAACATTTTCTAAAATAGTTTTGGTGATTTTGTATTACATATTTCAATACTTCGACAATAAGTAAAATACAATAATATGAAAAATTAAGTTTTCGAATATGTTTTTTCAAATAATTTACGTAATATAGGTAAGATATACGTTCTTGCAACAGAATGCTGTCGAGTTGACCTTGGCTACATACAAATCTAGGAAATTTACGATTGTGTAGACCCGCTTGTCGTGTGTATGGATTGCGTTGCTCTTCGCCTTAGATAAAATGTGCTCGTTTCGTATTCAAGACAATTTCGTTGCAGTTTTGAAAATAGTTTTTATTACCTAAACGTTGTTTGTAACATCTCAAACTTAAACTTGGATGCCGAGATGAGTTGAATTTCGGAATACTGTCTGTCGTGAGTAAAAATTAAGATATGGCTGCGAAATTGGGTATTCAAGAGAGATTGGTATTATTTATTATTAATGCCACCATTGCCACGCCCAAATATTGCCGTTAAACGAAAATACATGAAATGCCATTTCTAAGTTAAAAATTAAGATACAAAACTGCAATTTGGTAAAGATTATCAAAAAAATATGAATGGGCTTAATGGGGTTTGAAATTATAAAAAGGGGGCATGGCTCCGCCTCAAAAACCACTAAAATAAAATTGACCAAACATACTGAGAAAAATTCTTCCACCATTTTTTAATTCTGTATAAAACGGATTTTAACTCCGCCCATTCCTCATTTAACGAATATATTGGAAACTACAAAACTGCGATAAATCAGAAAATAAATACGTCAGAATCATTAAATGCCACTAGTTACAAAAGTGGATAATGGGCGTGGCACTGCCAATCTTAAGAAAATCACCACTTACTTTCCATATTTTCAAATTTTTAAATTCCATATGATTCCTTAACTTTATAATATAAAAATTAAACACCAATAAAGTGGTGGTCAGTATAAAACTATTCACATATAGTGCCTTTAAAGTATGCCACCTCTCGAATAAAAATTTTCGAAAGCGGACCATAACTTTTTAAGCCCCCCAATACCGATATGTTGACATCAGTGCCTTTGATTGACCTTTTACTAGAAATACTGTGTAATACTTGTAAGTCAGATATTATATATTATTGAAATTCAGATAGAATATTTTCTTGAAAAAAATGTGTCATTGTGTGTAAAATCGGGTCAATATTTCCCTAGTTTTCACATCACTCGAATAAGCCCTTCCTTACCAATTTTGAATTAAATTAATTTGCATATCAATCAAATTAGAATTGAAAATAAACATTTCATTGGCAACGGTTTGCAATTGTCCCATCGTACACTCTTCAGGTCAATTGCTCCAAATCAAATAGAAAAAGCCATTTACTTGGAAACATGAACCAAAGTTTATGCAGTTTATAATTAACTTTAATATGATGCTTTTAAATCTGTAAAATTGATTGCGCTTGCAAAAATGGAATTTAATTTTATGATAAAGTTTTTGGTCAACCACTTAATAGCATTTTAATTAATTTGAATAATAAATACAATTATGTGACAGTTTTCCATTGACCCCATTTTCCAGTGGACAACAGTGTCACTGTCTATATGTATGTATATATTGCAGCTTATATCTTTCAACAGCAATAGTTCAGTTCAGTGGATTTGAGCTCAGCCAGGCGTTGAAGTCAATTTTATTGCAGAGCACATCCAATGTTTAGCAACCAAGCTGTTGCGGTTAGTGCCATCCAAAGGACATTTAACCAAACAAATTTACATGCACACCAACACCTGCACCACCCTGCTATTTATGGTAGTCACCAACTCGGCTGCATTGTTGTGCCAATAGACTGCTGTCTTGCGCTGCCTTCATCTCATTCACTCTTAACTCATTCTTTCGTCTGAGTAATCCGGTGTACAGTGTCCAATGTTTATTGTCCGTTGTCCATTGTCCATTGTTCGTTGTCCGTTGTCCATTGCATTCATCTAATAGTTATTGACCGATATTTTGTTCTGCTTATTTGTTGCAAACACACAGCATTTATTGACTTGTTGTTTTCTTGTGTTTTTCACTTTTATTGTATTGTGTATTTCACTTTATTTGCTTTTGGTTTCGTTTAATTCACGTTTTTTCTTCGTTCTCAATTCTATTGTTGCTTTTGTTTTTGCTTGTGTACATATTTTCTACTTGAGCTGATTGAACATCCAGCAGCGCACACAAATTGCTTCCTCGCTTATTGAAGGGGCATAAATTCAATAGGACACACCTTGCAACAATGTTTCATTGTGCTGTCACTGGGTTTTGTGCATTTGCTTTGCTTGAGTGATTGACTGACGGCTTGCTGATTCCATTGTAGGGAAGGGTGAGCCAAGCAATGTATAGCTTAAAGGATAACACATACATGTGGGCGTGTTTGTAATTGATAGAGTTTGCTGAACGGCGCATATGTATCTGACTTTTATACAATTTGCTTGATGTAAGTTCAATGGATACAATTAATTGGTCGGTTTGAGTGTCATACATTTTTTCCGAAAGTAATTCTAAAATTCAGTATAGAAGGTGGACAATTAATATTTAATACCATAAATCACAGGTTTGTATAATATGAAGTTGCACAATGAAAATTGGCTCGTCCATGTAAAAAATATGATTAAGAAATTCATATTTAGAGTAAACTTTCAAAAATGTCCAAACTAGATAGAAACTGAGAATCCATTAGTTAAAGCTTCGTTAGCCCTATAGGTGTTGTTCTGGATTGAAAATGTAAAGTTATGGTTGGGTTAGTCAATATTATATTTTGCCGGACATCCGGTCGTAGTGTTGAATGACGTGTAATACTAAGATCCGTATCTCGATAGTATCTAAAGGTTTTGAAGCAAAGTTCTGTGACTTACGGTGAAATATTGATACTTGTATATTATTCAGTCTATAACTATATTCGTGCAGTTTTTTTTTTCAAAATTTGAACTTTTATTTATTTATTCAATTAAAAACATGCTTAATAGCATTATTCTAAGTATTGCCCATCTAAAGCTATAACATTTTCCCATCTTTCTGGGCATTTGTGGATTCCTTGCCAAAATAACTGCGCCATAATGCTTCCAGTTCCGCTTCATCTTCAAACTTTTTGGCTGCACAGAACGTTCTTTGTCTTCCAAGAAAAAACTTTTAAATCGTTCAAACCACTTTTGACACATTCATTACGCTCATATACATCGATTATTATTATATACCCAATAGTAATTTTTTTAAAAACCACTACTACACTCAGATTATGTTTGAATTGAAAAAACTAGGTTATAGCTTGGCCAATAGATTGTTATCTCGATAATGTCTAAATCTTTTAAATGGAAACTTCTGAAAATAGGGAAAAAATTGAAATATATAATATTATGTATATGCATTGGCCACGGATGTTAGCAACATTGAGTTATATGCAATAACTAATAGTGATACCCGGTTCTTCTGTTGTTCATCCAGTCCATTTTTCTGCTTTTCTCGAAGTTTATTAGCATCATCAATAAGGATATGATAAAATGGTTTAATAACCTTATCGTAAAAAATTCAATGAGTTTAAGATGAAGTTATGAAATTCAATATTTTGAGTAATTCTTGAAAGAGGTCATTATTGGTCGATGGTTAATATTCACCTTCAAATTTTTAATTATATAATTCTGAAGAACATTTTTCAAAAAATTTGCATTTCTACTTCACTCGTTTGCAGCAAAATAATTAATTTTCGTTACTTCTTATAAAAAAGGAATAAGAAAGAACAACTGTGCACTGCAAATTTTTTTTTCTACTAAGTAGTTTGTGCAAGACGAGTGCATTCTGCGTAACATTAACATTAGCTGTTGCGGTCATATTTTAAATTAGTCCATAATCAACTTACGGAAATTGCATTTTATCCACTCATTAATATTTTTCCCATGGCTTTTCAGAAAGTGTGCGGCTTATGGCAGAATCTCTAATTTCTCCGCGATTCGTTTTCATTCCATACACCTACGAAGTAACAGCTATCAGTGGACACCACAAAATCTAAGCTGCGCACAAATATCTACGGACTTTGGATTGCAGGTGCGCCAACGTTAGTGTTGTGGGCGAATATTAGAGTGCATTTCCAGCGCTGACAGTTGAACACAACGAAATTGACGCGTTGATAGGCAACGGCTGGTGCTGAAAAGGGGGTGGGCCAACAGAGACTAGGCGGCTAGTGAGACTCTAAGTAACGTAGCGACGCAGGACGCACACAACTGAAAGGACTATACAAATTATGTGAGTATCGGAAGGCGAGTGGAAGTGTCTGACAAGGCACAGAAGCATGTTGCGCATACGCCACGTAGCGCTGAGCTTTTCAAGCCGGCTGATACGCGCACACAAGCACGCACCTAGACGTGTCAAGTTATCTTATGATATTAAACTTAACTATATTTGTTTTTAATATGTTTTTTGTTTTGTTTTTTTTTCTTTGCCTCGCAGAATGTCTTGCACAGTTTCAGAGCTGCCTTCGGGATGTCACTTACGTGGCATGAGCTCCACCTCATCCACTGCGGTAGCGACAGTGGCGACGGTGGCGACCAAAACACAAAGCGGTGGCAGTGGAGGCGGTAGCAGCTCGAGTACAGGTGGTGGCAGCAATAGTGGCGGTCTCAATAAGGGCGGCATACACGTGGGCGGCATGCTGAGCACGACGAGCGCGCTGGGTGTGACAACAACGAGTTCACGTGGCAGTTCGGCGGGGAATGCGGGGGCGAGTTTGCTGCCCGAGACGTTGATGACGACGACGGCGATGACGACCAGCACAACACAACGACAGCAGCAGCAACAATCACAGAAACCCTGCTGTTTTTGCTGGTGTTGCTGTTGTTCTTGCTCGTGGTAAGTGTGGGGCGGGGCGTTTGGAATGCAAGCTCGTAGATCTGCACCTTAAGTGCCTTGCACTTTCTTGCAGCTATTGCTGTGCTATGTTGAAATTCCACAGCTTGATACTTTGAATTTCATGTAACTGACAGTTTTCTATTTGCTCACAAATTTTTCCTCACACTCGTTTTTTCTTTTTTATGTTATTTTTGCTTGCATATTTCTTGCGTTGGCTGCACTTGGCTTATCGCTGTCGCATATCGCACATCGCACATCGCAGGGCAAAGTGGTGAGTACACGAACGGAATTTATTAAAGATAATATTAAATTAATTTCAAAGTGCTTGAAGAATTTTCCAAAGCGGATTTAAAATTCTTCTTTAGTAACTAAATTAACTTAGTTTACTGCTACATAGTGGATTGCGAGTAGTTGTTGGTAGACAGTGCAAAAAAGAGTGCACAATACAGCGGCTGTTCGGTTAGAAGAATGAACTAAAAATAGAAATATCCTGGCTCTGTTTAATTCGCGATATTCTTTGGAGTCATATTAATTATTTTACTTTGTTAGCTATACTTGAAGCCTTCTTCATGTTCAATTTGAAATTCTGACTCTTGCAGCATTTCAAAGCAAGTGTTTGCATAAAATAGCAATACTTTTTAAGCAATGTTAGAGGTTTTGCAGTTAATTTCAAAAGTTATGTCCAAAGTGCTTATATTCTCTTAGTTTTCAAATATTTTTTTTTTTAATTTTTTATATATACCATGAATTGAGCATATTATAAGTAATAAATATAATTATATTTGTCCTTAGCCTAGCTATGGCCTGACTAGGTGGCTCAAACTTTCTGTGTATTTTCATTATCAGAAGCAATAACCCGCTCACCAGGAGCGTGTCCATACATTAAAGTTCACTTACATATTTTCTAAAGCATCCAATTTATGTTCTGTCCTTCATCGAGTAAGCTAAGTTAAGTAAGCCTTGATCAGGATTGCAACTAATGCATTAAAGAAATAATTGAATTGACATTTGAATTAATTGTTTTTATTTTGTAAACCCGTTAATCCTAATTGAAAACAATTTTTAACCTCAGAAATCAGATTGAAAAAAAAGTAAAATTTATTAAACATAATTATTCAGGAATATTGATCATTGAAACTATAGGTTTATGGTAACTGAAATAAGAAACATGAGACTTGATATCCTATAAATATCGGGAAAATACCGCGTCAATATTGGTCCCACATTTTGATGTGGGTTCTTGTGAATCATTATTCATTTTCTGATTTTATCGGTGAAGTTGATTCTTTGAAAATCTTGTTTTCTAATTTGAATTTTAAAATTTCTTACAAAGATAGTTTAATGCATATATTTTGGGTTTGGAATAAAAAATTATAAGTTATTTCCTCGGTGTGTCAAAAGTATTGTTTAAATCTTAGTATAGAGAATCTTTGTTTGATTTTTTGTATCCACCTAAAAATCGAATTAAAAAATAATGATAAAACTATTATATATATTTTTTATTAAGTAAAATTAAAACCCAAAATCATTTCGGCCAAAAATCAAAATGAAAAACTATTTCTTTACTCAAAGCAACATATCACGTGAAACTGAAGCCATTTGTTCTATGCATATTAAATAAGTAGTTAATTACTCATCAGATGCTTGTCACGGCCATTCGCCAACAGTATATACCGAGCTGTGACCTTTATGCTCGTGCAATTTGCCATTTGAGAAATACTATTAAATCTGTACAACTTTGCAAATAAATGTCATTTACTGCTGACTCTCAAGCAGGCAACCCTACGCCAAGAAAGCGAGGAATAATGTGAAGTGGAGAGGAAAACAATATACAAAATTGTCAGATTTCAATTAAGTCTAGTTAAGAAAATGCTACAGATGATATTTTTCCAGTTTAAATACACACAATATACGTACAAATATATATATACAATATAACAGTATAGCAGACGGCTATAGAGCACTTGTACATACACATGCATGTATATAGCACTGCGCGAGTTGATATGATTGAATTAAACCTACATACATAACACTCGGCAACACAAGCATTCCAACCACAAATATTACGTATACGCAGTGCGGTGTTCTGCGAGCACAGCGCCAATAGAAGCGAGCCGACTCAAGTTGAGTTCGGTTGAGCTGAGCCAAATTGCCAAAGAGACAAGGCGAGTGCGAAGTTGAAGCTATAACACCACATTGCGGTGAAGGAGTAAGGTGTGTGGGTTGCTTTCCCTCCAGATGAATGGCATTGTGTGTTGTAGCGCCATAGCATAAGCAGCGGGGAAGGAGCTGAAGTGCCTGAATTTTCGATGAACTTGTGCACATGCAGACTTTCGCCATTCATTAAACTCGAGCAAATAAAGTGCAGGTCAGGTAGTTGGCAAATGAAGAGGTTTCGAAGGGACATAGGGGCGGCATAGGCGGCCCATACTGACAAGGTAGAGTTTCTGAGCAAAACTGTTGTGTATATACAGCCGAGCGAGACAAATATACATTGGTATATTATAACAAAGTTGAATACTTGAAAATTTGTACTCGGCATGAAATATTATAAAAGGGTTGGTATGAAAAAAGTTCGGCAAAATTCGAAGTAAATATTCGTAGGTTTTCACTTTAGCGCATTTGTATGCTCTTTTCTGCCACCTACATAATTTTTATGGCTTTTATTTGCCAACTGTTTTTTATGTGAATAAAAGGCACTGTCTTGCTTCTATCCACATGTTTACCTTACTCCATTTTATGCTCCACTCAGCGTCGCACGCGTCAACGCATTCATACGGTCATGGTCGTTCAAGTGCTGTGCAAGCACACACTTATACATATATTTGTATTGCATATAAGCAATGTGTATAAGTATACTCGTAAATACTGGTTGTATCTGCTACAGTCACAATAATGCCATTTTGCGCCTGGCTTGTGGCACAGCTGTCGTGATGGATGAGACTGTAACCGTAGCAAATCCATAAAAGCGAGTAAGGTGTGAGGCACACGTGTGGGCGTCCAAAGGGCATAGAACATGACTTGTCACACACACAAGCACAAATATACGCACTCCTACACATGTACAGCACGTAAATGCGGGGGTCAAATAGAAAAAATATGCTTTTTTTTTAGAAAATCACACACAAATCGTGGACGTCAACAACCGCAGCATGGCTGGACTCCCGGAAAGGCAACGGATTCATTCATTTAATTTAAGGCGTAGCGTCCATGGCACAAGCACACACGAGAACATACAACAATATGTGTAGAAACTATTTTTTTTTTATGCAGCAAGTTTTTGTTGTTCTATTGTTAGCTATTAGCATGTGGAAAACTTCATTAGGCCAGAGTTTATTGCAAGCTCGAGTTTATGGTGCCAATTAAAAGACTATATCACATTTATAACTAATACTCATCAGTTATATTGTACGTATGTATAACTTGTATGTGTAAAATAGCAGGAAAACATCAAACGACCGCACATCAGAGAATCGCTCTGTCTACATTGATATATGTAATGTAAATTTGGTAATAATATTATAACTTCCCTAATTGCTTCAATCAGATTAGACACATACCATATTACCCTGTCTACCAGCCAACCTCATGCAATACACTTTACTTTCACGCCTTCCAATGCTGCTTTATTTTATAAATATTCTGCTGGCTTACAAGACCCAAGGAAAGTGTAACTGACGCTGCGTGGAAATGCCTGAATGTGTGGATGCTGGAAATTCGAACTCACGCATTAGAAGTGAGAGCCTTTTAACAATTCGGATGTGGGAGTAGTTTTTGAAGGAGAGAGAGAGAGAGAGACAGTCAGGCAGAGAGAGAGAAAGAGAGTTTACAAAGAAAAGCTTTTTTCGCACAGAAATTTTTGTAGGAATACCAATATTTACTATATAAAAGATGTGCTTGTTTAATTTAAGGTAAGGAGCGTAATTACCTAGTTTTTATTAGCAACTCGGATACAATATGTCTATGTTCCAAGGCTTTACATTCTTAGATTTTAGTGGAGATTTTCTGAAGCTATCCAGTTTTTCGAATCACCTCAAATGGTATAATTATACCATTTTTCAAAATCTCCAGGGTCAATTAAACCAAGAGTAATTACAACTTTGTGATATCACTTTGTCTATCTCTAAATTTTTTGTTGATATTTATACTCGGCGATAATCTTAGAATATAACAGGTAATAGGTATTCGCGATTTTTGACTCGAATATTTAAATCACCATGGAATGTTTGAAAAAAAGGAAAAATATGGATTTTGCTCCGAATAAAATTGCCTAGAGTTGGTAATTACTGACCTACAATAAAAGTTAAAATCTTAAACATTATTATTCAATTTATTGAAAGCCTATGACATGCCATCAAAACGTCAACGAATATAATTATTTTCGATTCAAAAAAATATCAACAGTACAAATATTTCCCGTTAGCTTACTCTCTCGCTGCTGGCAACACTGTTTACTCACTTGTAGTAAAAGCTTTTGATTGCCGCTCCGAAAAACGATGCACCCCAAAGGTTTGCATTCGGCACGAAATTTCATTCATAAAAATGTCAAACCATAAATGAAAAGCTCTCGAAGGCAGCCGAAAAGTTTAGCATACACGAAGATATTTGCAATGAATATTTCGTGTGTTTTTCACAACATGAGCGCTGGAATTTTGTGGCATTTTCGGGCATATTCTTACTGCCCTTACACATATACATAGCTACCAACCCCTGGACCCGTCTGTGCCAGTGTATGTAAGCAAATACACACATACATACATACGTATTTATGTCACTGCGTGTACTAACACAGTCTCCCTCGGGTATATACATTTGTATTGTACACATACTTTTGTATATTTGCGAGTGTGCGTGTGTATATGTGTGTGTGTACTCTTCTGTCCATGAACTATGACAGCAATTTTGATTATTTGACAATAATGAAGCGACGGAAAGCAATGAAAATGTTGGCAAATATTTTAATTATGCATGTTGAATGCGGCATAGACGCAGCCAGTAGACACAGGGGCATTGCGGAAGTAATGCAGCAAAGTTGCTCCCAAGAATGTGGCGGAAATTGAGTTCGTATTGTTTTATGGCGCGTCATGACAGTTGTGGATGAAATGTGTAAAATCAAGAGAAAGTGGCATGCAAATGGGTACTCAGCGCTGAACAACGCCCTGCACACGCAGACACATACACGTGTAAATAAATGTGCGGAGCAGTGAAGTGGCAGTGGGCGGTGTGGTGTGTGTGATAATTTTGGCGAAAAGTGTTTGAAAGGATTGT